TGGTCCTGTGTTTCTATTTCCTTTTGAGTTTTTATGGCCTGCTCAATACCTTTGAGACTGCTCGCAATTGGAATTCCATTCTCGTTCAGCATATCAACCATAGGATTACCTAGAAATCACTTTTGTAGATGCTCAAGGCATACTCGTACACATATTCGAGGTGCTCAGGTGTGTCAGATGCACTCAATCGTCTTGCTCATCAAAAACCTGCGAGGAAAGCTTTCGTTTCCTATGACTCGACAGTCAATTTCGGACGAGTTTCCCATAGGCATCTTGCCAATAACCGCTACCGAAGGTACGGCTGCATATGTATGTGTACTCATATATCCATGCAGCATCACGGCCGCTTCATACCAATCCCTTCGCTTCATAATTTGCTTAGCAAATGAATCAATACGAGCGTCAGGAACGGTCGTCCATTTGTGGGCGGGCGGGCGTGGTGGGTCGGATGTTGTAGCTTGATAGGGCCCTTATAAGGGTACCTTCCTTGGAAAGGGCGCTGCGCAGCGCCTTCTCAGGGCGCGGAATTCCGTCCTGCCAGGCGTATCAATCCTACTCGTCTTCAGGGATTTATCGTGCCAACTGCCTTCTAATACCAAAAAGGTGAAGCACCTGAGGGGAAATACAGCAGCATCAAGACTAAAAGATCAACAGGCCAACTACGATGCCCTCCCAAGAACCTACGTAACATCCCCACTGAGGAATTACCAGTGATGCTGTGCCATGTTCCAGCAGCTGGCCGCCTTCGATCTACACTAGGGCACATTTTCCTTTGAGGATTTCCAGCAAGGGAGTCGTCTGTGGCTGCTAGAGGGAAGGAGGTCGTTTCGCTTTCGAGTTGGAGAAAAGGTGGTTGCAAGATGAGAGGAATGAGCGAGATGATGTTTAAGATTGGGGTCGTAGCAGGTAAGGAGCTTTTGAGGGAGAATGATCGATAAAATTACTTAACATAGAAGTTAAAACCAAAAGATACTTTACAAAATACAATACCGGTTTTTGGTTGGAGTTTGGCGACTTCCGCTTGCTGCAATACGGCATCCGCAGCAAGATCTTCAACTTTGAGCTTCTTGTATTTCTCATACTGAAAACAGAGAAACACTTTATAAAGATAGTATTCTCCCAACTTCTTTGCTGCGAAGGCTCTACGACTGCGGTAAAAAGCAGGTTGTAACTGCATCGTTTTGAAATCTTTCACATTTTTCGAGACCAATTGAGGCCAGCGGGAACTGCATAGATTGCTGGAATTAGAATTACCCTATTTCCTGGCGTATGAGGCGCATTTCGCAGAATCGCACTCGACAACGTGCGCGGGGACGGGTAGACGAGCAGTGGTTTTCAAATACCTTTTTTGAAATAGATGATTAATATAGGTGAAAACAAACGAAAACTTGCAAAATAATTCGAGGAAGAAACATTCGGAGTTACGGAGCAAAGGTACACCTTATGGATCAGGAGGTATGTAGAGGAGATTGCATTGCTGGCCGACTTCAGGTGGTTCAGAGTCCCAGGTTCGAGTCTACTTCTAGCCTAGTTTAGCAAGGCAATCTCGAGCTTCCCTCTGAATTGCAGCTCCTTCTGAGCACAACTATGTAAGACTGCTTTGTTAGTTGCGGCCTCTTTCACAAATCTCTAGAAGTTGCTTCAAATAGATAAAAAGCCTCGATTCAGAAACAGGACTGCACCCTGTGTTCTCAGCTGTTAACATCGCAATCAGTAGGAGCGGTGTCAGAGAGGCGGTATGAGCCTCACTTATCAATAGTGTTCGGACGGTGATCGACTTAGCAAGAATGAAACCAGTGGTGAAAACACCGCAAGTGCCTTCTGAGACCGCACCTACTGATTGCCGCGATATCAAGCTTACTGGGTCTGGGACGCCTTCATCACATGGCTAGGTCCACTTTGCCAAACGTCAGAAATGTGGCCAATGAAAAGCAAAACAAAATGAAAAATAGCGAAAGTATAACGTCAGGGAAGATGGGCAAGAGAATCGTAAATTGCCTTAGTGGCGTGCGGCAGTGAGAGCGACACCTTTAATTGCACTATCTCTTCAAAGGAGCATTGGATTTCATGACAGACAAGACCATGGTAGACACATTATGTCCCATGTACTGACCCGTAATGTCTATTCTCGATCACACCTCTGAAATCGTCGTCATTGTCGGGCGCGACGTCGCACGCGACGCCCCCTGGCGCGGCAAATTTTGATTCTCTTGCCACAAAACCTAACTCCAGTTCCTAAGCCGCAGTAAGGCAGCGTTCAGACTTTCGCGACGGCAGCGCTTCAGGCCGCGCGTTCGGCGCGATTGATGCGCATGCTTTCTACTGCATCGATCGCGTTGAACGCGCGATCCAAGCGCTGCCGTCGCGAAGTCTGAACGGGCCTGGCTTAAGGCTGGAATATAGCGCCACATAAATTATTCGTGAGATTTTTGAGAAAACTGTCATCATGTCTTGTGCTGGACAAAGATGAGAACACAAACGCCACAAAACAAAAATATCCTACCATCAAAATCCAAAAGAATTAAGCAGTCACGTCTGCCGCATCTCAAGGATATGGCGTAGAGCTCACAACACAATCTTGCGCAAAATAAGCAACGCCTGCACCAGACACAGTGCTTTCAGCGTGAAATAAATAGGGGATTTCTTGAAATACAAGCATAGAAAGAGGAAACATTAGCTTCGATTGCTTAGTAATTTATTTATTTCTGTGGTTTCTCAGGTGTGGATTTTGCTACTTATATAGTAATCAAAATACAACAAAAAGTGAAAATTGGTGCCATGTCAAATTAATAAAATTCAATCAGATCTATAAAGAAAGTGTTGTATTATTAAAGTCTTGGATTCACTTGTAGTTTTATGTTTCAGAAGAATTTACCTGTTCTGGATGGACTTTCTCTAACACTTCAAGTTGTGTTTTGAACGCGCCCTTTGCCATTTCCATTTGACCTTTTTTGATGAGAGCATCTGTAAAAAGTCACCTCTCACTTACTAGAACAGTCTCAGAGGTATCAAGAAAAGGTTTTTCCAAATTCTCTCATAACAAGCCTAATCTAGGCGGGATGAATTTCCGTTATAGCTATTTGTCACAAGCATATCGCCCATCACAACTACCACCGAGGCTGTTGTAAGTCTGCTCGCTGCCGGTGATAGGGCGTGTCAGGAGGCATGGGATTGGCGTAGCGCGAGCCCATTTTTTTCGGCAAGCGTCGAGACTCTGCCATATCGTTCGTATCAATCGTCCTATAGTAGCTGTTGTCGCCTAACCGTTTCAACGACCGACGTAAAACGGGCCTGCGGCGCGCCAAATCCGCCTGCATCCCCCCCAACACGCACCATCATCTGCAGCAAAAATTGCTATACACCGAATGGTGTAATCTTTTCTAATAAAGTTGTTCACAAATATCACGTGAGCCATCTTCCATAGCGGGTTTCTTCGCACTCAATGGGTGCAGGATGGCTCCAGTGAGTACGAAGCTTAGCCTTTGTACGAGCCTTTGACGTTTGCGAGGTTCTTTAAAACGCGCTCACAACACATGCAGGGTGTATGTGACTAGCAGCCCCCAGCTGTCGAAGCATAGCGGTTTCCCGTTCAAACATGCGCAGGAATGGAGATACAGGACCGTGAAACACGCTAATTCCAATGCTCGTCCAATGCCTCTTTGCGGCCGCAGATTCCGTCCTTATACATCCGGCGTAAGCCAGCGCGTGTCGCGTGCGGGCTCTTGGCCACTTTTGCGTAAGTCCTTTAATTGTGCATTCGCATTGCTGAATCCTTGAATTAGCGCTTTCACAATACAAGTAAAACGCAATTTCCTGAAAGCGGAATAAACATTGGGAGGTGACTGCGGCAAAATTAAGACCAGAAGATAATGCGCAGGGGTCAAAGAACTTGATGAAGCAACTGTGCCAGCTTTCTGCCGACATCCCTCGGAGCCACGTATTTCAACGAAACAGAAAATAAAAACGCGCATACTCTTATCATTTTGACACAAAGCAAAAACGCAATTTCCTGATGCGAATAAAATTTGAGGTGTTGCTCATGCTTCAAAATCCATGTACAAGGAGATGAAGATGACACAGGCTAGAAATGAAGCACCACGATGTAAATGTAAACAAAACAAAAATGAAAAAAATCAAGGAAAGGCAAATTAGACTGGCCTGTGAAGAATTTCATCATCCGGCAGCCGAATCCGGCGCCAAAGCCATAGAAACATTTACATTAGAACAAACGAGTGGGACGCTTGGGCTGTTTTTATTCCCATGTTTTGTCGGCCTCTGATGGATACTGCAGATGCAGCCGAGTTGCTTTGAGTTCTGGCCCTCGTCATCATCGTCTGTTCTTATTTTGTAGCACCTTCAATGTTATGCGGAAATTGCGTTTTACTTGTATTGGAGAGCGCAATTAAAGGACTTTTTGGCAAAGTGCCAAGGAGCCGCAGCGACACGCGCGCTTACGACGGATGTTATGAAGGACGGGAATCTGCGCCGCAAAAAGGTGTAAGGCGGAGCATGGAGGAATTAGCGTGTTTCACGGTCCTGTATCTCCATTCCTGGGCATGTTTGGGCGGGGGGACCACGACACATCGACAGCTGGGGGGCTGATAGTCTCATACACCCTCAATGTGTATGAGCGTACCATGTGTCTTTAATATCGTTTACCCATGCTATAATCAAGTGTGCTACATTACAAAGTGTAATTGGGTTATTAGCAGAGAATGCTATGTTATTCGAAAATTCCAGAAAAGGTGACGGACCTAGAAATTTTGCTCCGATTTGTTCAATGGCATACTTGCTTGGTAGTGGTATCAGAGAGTTCGCTTTATCACTTTCATCAGAATCCTCATCTGAGTCGTGACGTCCACAATTTGCTATCGAAACTGCAAGCACAATTCTTCAAATTGTTTTTCAGGAGTTTCGCATGCTGTACTGCACACTCTCCTTAGTACGAGTTACTGAAAAGGAGAAGTCAGCATCCCTAGGTCAGCATCCCTTTGCCATTTAATCATTAGTCTCTAGCTCCTGCACTCAATGATTTTTATGCCAGTACATTTTGAACCTCAACCTTTTGATCCTACAGTTCTACTAGTTTGCACAGTAAACTCTAAAGTCTTCGCCGCTGATTAATATCTTCTTGGGATGCGACACTCATTCCACTTCCATTCAGAATTTAATCTCAACGGCTCCATGAAGGCGATGAGGCTTAGACTGACTAATGACTTGGGGCCAGCCAATGTACAAGTCAATGTTCTTATCCTCCTAGACGAATCTGGTATGAAATTAATCATCCTCGGACAGTGGAAGGCTTGGTTGGCCTAGAGAGCACGATCCCTGGTTTGAACTCTGTGGGGGAAGCGTGTCACATGCCACTACATGACCTCCGCCTCAGGTTGCACAATATTCAAGAAATTTAAAGACCCCCTGAAAAATTTTTTAAGCATCTATAAACTTGGGGAAGGGAAAGGGCCCAGTGTACAGCCTTGTAACCACTCTGTGAGCCTCACTACTTCCTGTTGAGCACCTTGTAAACTCTTGTCGAGCTTGTTAATTTGGTTATAATAATGTACAACAAGGTGTAATCGGAAGCGGTGTGGGGGGGGGAAATTTGAGCCCGCCTAGCGGCTGCTTACCATTTGATATATCGCTTGTGACCGATTCTAGAAGAAACCACCAGTGGTGGGAACTGGGATCACCCATTACTATTGAAACCACCTGATTTGCGATGATACCAAACGTACTTGATAGGAATTTACAGAACGAATGGAACTCGCAGGGTGAGGTACGACTGTCCGGAATTCAGGTATACAGTTAACATGAACCAACGAAGCTTATATGCTGATATGACTGTCCAAGAGTTTACAGTTATCTCCCCCGCCTCTCCCCCACCCCCCTCGAAGTTATAAGCACCGCTACTTGAAAAGTGTTCTCGCTTTCATTCAGAATGTCGAGGAGTCTGGAAGTTTCAAAAGTTTGGACAAATCTCAAAGTGGTACTTACTCGACAATAGAAATAATATGTAAAGTTGAGGTTGCAGCAGCAGCATCAGCGCTGAAGAGTTCCACAGCGCTAACGAAACAAAGACGGCGAGGTGTGACCGGGTCGAATCCGGTAGTCCGTTGAAAGGGAATTTCGCTGATAACAGGAAGTGATCGACCTCTAGACAGCGAGTCGCGCTCGATGTCACAATGGATGATCCCGTTTGAAACCGACGAGAAGCGAACGGTAGATTTCAAGCTACTTTCTTCAAATGTTCCATCCAGTGAAACCAGAGGTATCATAGAAGTAAATGGATAGAGCCCTTTCAATGCTCTTTCGAGGCACGCTACCCACTCTGCCTCCGTGGAGAAAAGTATTAATTTTAGTGTGATTTCAGCAAATATAGAAGTCAGTTGTTTAATCTAGGAAGGGCAGAAGGCTTAGCGGACTCGAGCGCAAGTTTATCCGAGGACTACCGAGCCTCAGGGCACCACTAGCATACGACCTCCACCATGAGTCTTAATGAGCGTGACTGGAAGATCACAGAGTGTTTTTTCTACCCTTGACTTGAGTATTCCATCTCTTTTTTGGATCTACAACATCGTAGAAGTGGGTTTTCTTCCGGTAATGTTTGAATTCACTACAGGAAGGAGTAACTTTGGCATTATAGAATCACTTTCTCACATTTCTCAAAGGACTTCCTGGCCGTTACTTCCTTCCTTTCTTTCCCCCCCCTACCCATG